GTGGGGGGAGGGGAGGGACAACTGCTAAGAGAGACAAGGTTTTTGGATGGGGAGCAGAGAATGTTTCAGCTTATCCACTGAAAAGAGCCAACTGTAAAGATACAGACTTCCACAATTTACCTGTGTATCTTCTCTGTGGTTGGGCGCCCTCATTTTCTACCTTTCTTCCCACTTGACTTTTTTTTTTTAATGTAAAGTTTAACATGTAGCAGGGTTAGAATGAGAGTTGGGCGACCACCTCCCAGGTTCTCAGGCAACACTTGGCCTTTCTGCGCTCTGCACCAGCCTCCACTGAGTTCTCCTGTGTCAGGCATCGGTGCACTTGACGGCGACACGTGCCCCCCTTGTCTCTGGAGACTTGGATTTCTCAAGGCAGCATGGGTGATTGGTGGTGAAGTGGTAGGGTTCTCTGCCCCCCACCCCCTCCAGGCGAGAGACCTGGTTTGAGTCACAGCCAGGGCACCTCATGTGTAGTCACCCCCCCACCTGACCATGTGGTTGTGAGGCTGAACGGGTTCAGCGGAGCTCCCGGACTCAGACGAGCAAAGAGGAAGTAAGCTGACGACCTACTTCTCAAAGTCAGCCACTGAAACGGCTAGGGCGGCAGTGGCCTCAGCTGCAGACGTGGGATGGCTCAGGGCCGGGCGGCACTTTCTTCCACTGGGCGCAGGGTCGCCAGGGGTCGACTGGAGATAGCAGCTAACAGCAGCAAATTCCCAAACGGCCCAGGAGGCGTGACACAGGGAAAAGGAACCATCCTCTGCGTCCCACCAGCTTCCTTGACATCACAGGATGGTCACCGCATGGGCCATCTGGGGTAGATCCTTCCAACACCTTCACTAACGGTGCTTCCCTCATTGGTCACCCCTCCCCAGGTATTCCACGTCGGCCACGAGCGTGTCCCCTCGGGGCTTAGGCTGTGCACACAGGTGCCCATCCAGCCTTTTCTACCTCAGAAACATTTCACCCTGAAGACAGATGCTTCGGAAGCTCATCAGTCATTTTGTCCCGACAGCTGGTCAAACAGGTGTCCTTCAAGCTAGCGGGGTGGAGGGGGGGGTTGTTTCCAAGAGGCCTTTCCTGGGGACGCTTTCCCTCCCACAAGTTCAAACACTCGCTGTCGACGTCACTCTGAGTCATGACCCCACACACAGCAGAGCCAAGCGCTGCCCGGGCCTGTCTGTGTCATCCCCACGATGGGTTGTGGATTAAACCCAGCGAACCACACGGTTCTCACTGGTTGACTTTTGGAAGCTGAAAACCAGGTCTTTCTTCCTAGGGCACTTGAGCCTGGAAGCTCCGCTGAAGCCTCTTCTGCATCTTAGCAATGTAACCCTCTCCACGGGCAGAGGGCTGGGCGGTGGCTCTGCATGTTGCTCTGTGGTGCATTGAATCTAGGTCTCTGAGTGTGGAAAGCACCTATTTGACCACCCAACGGTCCCCAAACCAATCAAGGGGAGCTACCCCCACCCCACCCCCGCAGCCTATTACACAAATGACAACAGTCATGGGAATGACGAGAACGCCTGAATCCTTTGCTGCTGGCTCTCAGCAGGGCTGAGGCAAGACACCAAGTTAACTCATGCATCCCATGGCGGGGTGAGGTGGCCAGGTCATGTGCTAGGGGGACAGTGTCTCTGGCTAGTGCCTGAAAGGTCACCTGACATGGGCAGACTTCAAAGAACACCCTGTCCCAGCCAGAGCTGTGGCCTGGACCCCAGGACCGACTGAGGAAGCATGGTTTAACCTTGTGGGTCTCTGGTCTCTTCCATCACGGAGAGAGCTGCTACTTTGAAGGGTGACACCAGAGTCCACACTGCGAGGGGGCAGGACCCTGACCATCGATCGGCTCAGGCCACTGAGGAAGGGACGACCAGACTTACACGATCATACAGAACATCATGAAAATGTTCCACAGGGCAATGAAGATCCGGAAGTATCTGAGGCTCAGTAAGAATTCCCGTATGTTGTCACCTGGCAAGTGAAAAGACACCTTTACAATCTGGCTGGCATTTTGGTTTCTGCCCAACTGGTACCCACTACCCGGCTTCCAGGGACAGCCTGGCTCTCCCTCTGGGCCTCCACCGTGCCCTACCCTCAGTACACAGGCCGGGGCTTCCACTGCCACCTTCTTCCCAGAGCACCAAGCTAGCCCTGGGATTTTTATCCCAACAAGTAGGTAAGAGACATTTACTTTCTTCCTCTGGGCTTTCTGAGCTAGGAAGCCCAGTCCTCTCAGTGGAAGGTGACAAACCCCTTGGCCAAATGGGGCCTGCTCCCTGATTTTAGAATGTTTTTTCTATGTTCAAATGATTGAAGATAGTCAAAAGAATATTTTATGAGGCTCAAATGCATCAGCTGCCACTGAGCTGATTCTGGGGAAAGCCCTGTGCACCGGAGCAAAACTGCTCCCCTGCATTTTTCACTGACAGCTTTCCACAAGCTATTTGCCAGGCCTGTCTTCCACGGTGCCTCTGGGCAGACTGGAACCACCAACCATCTGCTTCGCAGTGCTGCATTCATTGTCGACACCACCTCGGGACTCCTCTTGCCCCGGGGGTTAGGGATCGGCCTCCTGTGCCACCCACAGATGGCGATGGAGGTCCCTGGTCCAGGCAACCACCAGGTGCTGGGGGCCCAGGGAGGTTCCAGGAATGGCAAGGCCTAGACCCTCAACCTCATACCTGTCTACTAGTCACGACACCTGCTCTGATGGGGAAGTTTGGGGAGTCCTGAGAACAGGCTGGGGACCCCATCCAGGGTGGGGGCAGGGACAGGGGCAGGCTCTCCGAGGACTGCACAGGCTAGGTACTCTGTGGGCTCAGAGCCCAGCTCCGCTGGTCACGTAAGAAAGCCTTTAAGACCAGTGGCCTGACCGCCAGGATTCCATTTGTGAGCCTTTCTGGGGAGCGCCACAGTAAGGAAACAGTTCCCAATGTCCCTGCCCAGCAAGGCCGCCGCCTCCCACGATTGTTTTCATACAAATTCTAAGCTGTGAAAAGTTAAAAAAAAAAAAGAAAGCCCAGCTCTGCCCTCCTGTGTGTGTGTGGGGGGCTCTGGGCCAGCCATTGCCCTCTGCCTGCCTCAGTGTCTCCTGAGTAGGTGCCCCCACCCCCACCCCCGCGTGCTCCACAGACAAAGCCATTGTGGTGGGAGGGATCGGCCAGACTGAGATAGAGACATTCCCGACCAGACCACCACAAGGTATCCCTGTGGGAGAACATGGCGCCCTGACAGAAGGCTAACCCAGAAGGGCCCAGGGAGCCCTGAGTCAAGGCCCAGCCTCCATCCTGGCCACACCTGTCCCTGCACAAGCTCCCGCCACCTCTGAGCCTTTGTGCCCAATCTGCCACACACCAGGGTGCCAATTCCGACTCAGAGGCTGCTGCCTGGGGCCCGGGACAGAGCCTTCCTCACAGTGTGGTGGGTGGCAATGCACTGTGGGGTCAAACAGGTTTCAGCAGAGCTTTGGATGGATAAAGAAGAAAGGCCTGGCACTGCACTATCAAACCTCAATCAATGAAAACCCTCAGTCACAACGGTCTGCTGCAGCCTGATTGTGGAGATGGGTACAGCAGCGGGCGGCATTTCCTCCCAGGGCCATGAACTGAGACCAGCTAGTGATGACTCACAGTGAATGAATGAATGAATGGTTGGCCAGTCAGTGAAGGGATGGAGAATATATCGCCTCTTGGGCTAGGACGACCCAGGTTGGAACCCTGATGAAGGCTGGTTTGCTGTGTGGCACATATGTCAAGCCACATGTCAGCCTCAGTTTCCTCATCTGTCAAGTGGGAAGACAGACCTTACTTCCAGGCCACTTGTAGGAGACATCTGCTTCAGCAGCCTGACCAGGCAGACAGCCATTGTTGGAGGGTCACCTCAGGGTCCACCCGCCCTTGTGCAATGCTCCCTCTCAGCACAGATGCCTGGGCTGAGATGCCACCTTCCCTTGGACCACCCCAGCCAGAGTTGTACCCCTCACCATCCTGTTCCCCTCACTAGCATGCATCACATCTGGCACCACCTCTTTCTCGACCCTTGTTCTAGGAACTGTCTGGTTCTCCATGGAGGGTCCCACAAGGCAGGGTCCTACTTATCTCTTGCTTTCTGCTATGTCCCCAGCACTCCAGTGGCTGACAAACAATAGGTTCTCCCTCAATAAACATTTGGCAAATGAATGAATGCACACAGCAGTCACGGGCAGGCCTCATCAGACTCTTAAGGTCAGCAGACACAGTTTATCAGGTAGTGCAAGTTCCAGGGCTTCAAGGGCCACTGAGATGCCTGAATACCAGCAGGTGGGGGCTGAGGTGAGACAGAGGTCCTTGACCCAACGGGAAGAGGGGTCAGCAGTCACTTAAACCCCAAGCTGCAAGAAGCTGTAGATCTTTCAGGAAAAAAGCCAGACATCTGATTTGGAATCAGAGTGGGGTCGCCATTTGTTCAAAGTCTAGTAACAGTGACATCTAACAGGTGGTGTAAACCGTATACACTTGTCTCCCAACCGAACGGCTGGTGCTTTGAACCCTCCCAGTGGCACTGCAGAAGGAAAGGCCTGGGAATTTGCTTCCCTAGAGCTCCCAGGTGGGAAACCTGGACGAGGCGGGTCTCCTCTGTGCAAGTGGGGGCTCTGGGAATCAGAATCGACTGCATGGCAGTGAGTCTGCTGGAACTAAAACTTTAAATGACACACTGTAGGCCCCAGTCCAGGTCCGCATCCATGTCTGGCTGTCGATCACATCAAAAGCAGTTGCTCGTCCCCTCATTAATTTATTCATTCATTTCTGCATGTTGGAGGGCAGACACTGAAGGCTGAAAACAGGCTCAGGCCTCTCCTGTAAGTTCACTGTCAAGTGTGAAGGTAGCACTGGCCAGCTATCAGCATCCAAAGAGAAAATTACAACCGTAGGAGTGAAGCAACTGCCGACTTAACTGGAGAGGGCTGGCGGGAGGAAGCAGGGGATGGAGGTGGGCAGAGGAACAGTATGTTCTCCAGCCTAAGACACCAAACCAAAAGCTGAAAGCCAAACGCACTGCCAGCAAGTCAGACCCTGGCTCAGAGTGACTCCAGGTACTGCCCGGGCCCTGCACCATTCCCATGACTGCTTGTGGATTGGACCCCTGGGATCCATAAGGTTTTCATTGGCCGATTTTTCCGAAGTAGCCCCCCAGACCTTTCTTTCTAGTCTGTCTTATTCTGGGAGCCTCACTGAAACCTGTTCAGCACCACAGCAACATACCAAGCTCCACTGACAAGCGATGCTGGCTGTACATGAGGGGCAGCCAGGAATCGAACCCAGACCTGAGACCAATGGACCAACATTGCCTCTTTGGATGTCATCTCTCTCTCAAACTGCACCCAGTAGGTGCCCTCTTCCAGAATATTCCTTCTGTCCCTCTCCCCCCTTCAAACTCCACATGGTGCTGGCTCTGTCCTCTGCCCTATTTCCTGTTGTCACTGTGTCGGTTGTGACTCATGGTGACCCTGTGTGTTTCAGAACAGAGGTGTGCTCCACAGGGTTTCTGGACTATAACCTATAGAAGTCTTTCTTTCACCCATAGGTTTGAACTACCAATCTTTACATCCATAGTCAAGGGCAAACCCTCTGTGCTATCCAGGGACCACACACATACACTCTCTCTCATTATTAAAAATCAAACTGGGGTTGCACTTGGCAGGGAAGAACTATCCTACAAAAACTTGGTAGTGGGGGGGAGCGGGGAGGGAGGGGAAAAATGAGGACCTATGTCGGGGGTTTGGGTGGAGAGAAAATGTTTTGAGAATGATGTATAAATGCGCTTTACACAATTGATGTGTGTATGGATTGCGATAACAGTTGTATGAGCCCCTAATAAAATGTTTAAAAAAACAAACAAACTTGGTAGTGGTGTTCCAGGGACCCCAAATGTGTGTGCGTGCAAGCAGCCACCAGGGCTAAGAGAGAGGAGGTCTTACCTGTGCTGGGCTCCCCTGATTCCTCTCCAAATCCCTGTGCTGCGTCCCTCTTTTTCCTACAAAGATGAACAGCGTCCACTTTTGAAGGGATATATAGGCCGAGCAGTCCCCTGGCCCTGACATCTGGCTCCCCAACGACTCTGGCCTGCTGTATGACCTCTGAGGACCCAGGGACCCTTCTCGGGTGACTACTTAACGCACCCATCAGCTGACAGGGTGGTGGGTAGAGGATGCAGGATAGGGCTAAGAGATTTCTGGGCAAAACTGAGAGAGGTTCTCTTGAGGGTAAGATCTGCGCTTCCGGTCATGGAAAAAGCGCTGGTTTGGAAAAGCGGCGTTAAGAATCCAGAAACAGGACTGGGACGAAGGCGTGGCCAGGAGGCGTGTCGAGGGGCGGGGCCGCCGGGCGGGCTCACGCGGCGGGGGCGGGGCTCCGGGGACCCGGGGCGGGCCGCGGCCCCGAGAGGCCTACTCACAGTTTGAAGTTGAGCACGGCCCCAGCGTTCATTAGCAGCGTCCTGCGGAGGGAGATTGCCGTTACCGGAGCCGCCCCCTAGCCCTTCTGCCTGTCTCTCCTGATCCCCTGGGCCCCGCAATTACCCGAACAGCAGGATGTCCCCGATCATCGTTACGGCCGGAGCGTCCGTCAGAGCCGGAAGCGGAAACCCGGGAGAGGGAAGGGAAAGAGAGGCAGAAGCTGATTCGTTACGAAGCACTGCCGGCGAGGGGTGGGCCAATCGAGGGGCAAGGCAGGCGGGGTCCGCCCCCTGCTGGCTAGGCCCCCTGAGACTCCTCCCCCCGAGAGACCAGGGAGAAGGGAGAAGGGCGGGGCCAGCTCGTAACGTCAGCTAAGGGCGGTACCACCTGTGGGCGGAGTTGGCCCTGGCGGTAGAAGCGAGCCGCGCATGCGTCAGGTTCTAGCACGAAGTAGGCGGAGGTGCGGTCTCGGCTGGAACCACGCCCCCACTGGCCTTTTGGAGCTCTGGAGCGCATCTCCGTGGCACTGCACGGAAGCTGAGGGTCCCCCACGTGTGTACCCCACGGCAGGGCACCCCGACTGACTGTCCAAAAGGAAAAGGAGCCCCAGATCGCGCAGGCCTTTCGGGGGGAGGGGCGCCTCATTGAGCGACCCCCCAGGAGGGTCCTTATGGGGCAGGGGTCCTAACCGAGCGGGTCCCACGGGAGACTGGGGTCTGAACAGAGTGAGCCCCCACGGGGAGGCCGGGGGGGAAGGTGTCCCGACCAAGTGGATCTCTCGGGGACGGCGATCCTGCCCTGTGGAGCACCCCGGAGGACGGGTCCTGACCTAACCGCGTGCGGACAGGGATCTTGACTGATGGGGCTTCACAGAGGACGGCGTTCTCTAAGAAGGCGGGTCCCACAGCGGGCAGGGGGCCTCACCGAGCCCCATAGGGACGGAGTACAGCGGGGTCGGGTCCTACCGGGGACCGGTGTCCTAACCGAGCCTACAAGGACGGGAGTCCTGGCTGAGTGGGTTCCACGATGGACAGGCCCACAGAATGGACAGCCTTCGCGTCCGACCCTCCGGACCCCTGCGCCCGCAGCCAGCCTCGCGGGACAGACTGGGGCGCCGGGATTGCAGAGGG